TCAGGTATTTTGGTTCTAATTTCACTCTTAGTGTGCTTCATTCTTGAAAATAGTTGCTCACAAATGTAGGTGCTACCAAAAAGCTATGACATGTATAAGGCGTGATTGTGAAGTGAGGGATATTTGTTTCTGGGAAGACAGGACTTATAACAGTCCAGTAAAGAGACATGATCAAATTTTTCTTTAAGTTGAATGTCAGATTGCAGCTCTATGCATTCCATGTGAAAATTGGCAGGTAACATATTGAGGTCAAATGAAAAAGAAGTCGCAGATATACCAAAATATTGATTATTTTCCTGGAAATCTTGAAATCTGTTTTCAAATTCCTGTATCAAATCGAAAAGCAAGGCTGCATATTTTTCACTGTTCACAGGACTGTGTTTAGCTAACGTGTCAAAATGCATAAAATTGTTTGCCTTAATTTGAGCTTGCCATAATTTCAGTTTCATTTGGAACACTGTTATGGTTTGAAACACTGTATTGATAAGTTGGTTTTCACCTTGAAGACGCATGCTTAACTCATTTAAATGAGCGGTTAATTCCACTAAAAATGCTAAATCTGTAAGCCAGTTTTCATTGTCAAGTTCTGGCACAAATTTTGTTTTCGATACCATAAACGACTTGATAACATGTCACAAATCGTAAAATCTTTTCAACACTTGGCCTTGACTTACCCATCTTACTTCCGAAAAGTAAATGATGTCGCATAGTCAGCATCAACACTTTTAAGGAATTCCTGGAATTGGCAATGATTTAATCCCTTGGCCCTTATGAAATTCACAGTCTTGATGACGATTTGCATGACGTTATCCATTTTTAAAGCTTTTGCACACAAATTTTCTTGATGTGCTATGCAATGATACTTCATCAGACATGAGTTTTGGGTGGCAATTGCATCATCTTCTATTAATTTTACAACTTCCTCTCTTTTACCTACATTGCTGGGGCACCATCAGTAACTATACCAGATATGTTGACAGTGGACAAAGAAAATTGCTTTAACATATTTTTTACGGCTTCATATAAATCTCTTGATTTAGTTGTGTCTTTTAATGGCACTAAAGAAACCATTTCTTCAGTGACATTATATTCGTCATCAATACCTCTAATAAAAATAGCAAGTTGAGCCGTATTTGTAGCATCAGTGCTGTCATCCACTGCCAAAGCATAAAAATTTAAATTAGCAGCTCTACTCTCCAAACTTCTTTCGATAGATTTTCCAATTTCTTTAATTCGCCTGACTACAATCTGGTGAGACAAACTGATTTTAGAAATATCCCCCTTTTTTCAGGGCAAATTATATCTGCCATGCTTTCCATACATTGCTTAATAAACTCACCACCAGTAAATGGTTTTGATTTTTTTGCTATTAAATATACTACCACATAACTAGCTTTTACAATAGAATCTGTCTGAGTTGTAACTTTAAAAAAAAAAATTTGTGGGGAAGACAGATTTTTTTTCAGTTCTGCTATTTTTTCCTTACAACACAATCCTTGATACGCACTGAATTTGGCAGCATGTTTTTGCATATAATGCCTTTTCAAATTATAGTCTTTGAAAACTTGCACAAATTCCCTACAAATTAAGCAGAGTGCCTTACTATTTTCCTTGACAAAGTAGTCATCTGTCCACTTTTCGTTGAATAATCTTCCTTTATCTGTAATTTTTCTTTTTTGGGGTTCTGTTTTCTTTTGAGACGTTGTAGAAGTCATGCTGGGATTAAAAAGATAATAATAGATAAGGGACTATATTTACTTTTATTATGAAAATTAATTGACAGGAAAACAGAAAGCAAGGTTTGGGCCCTTCCACATCTCGGCTGTTGATGCAATGCGAGGCAGAAGCCTGATTGTATAGGTAAAGTGCGGCGGGTGATGCGTGAAGCACGGCTGAGGTATAGAAGTACCCTTAATAATGAAATAAGAATGCTTACCTGTCTTCTAAATAACATTAAATGCCTATCGTTTGCAATGGTAGGTTGAAATATTATTGATAATTGCTGTGTTTCACTCGCCAAGTCACCACGAGCACATGTAACGTCTGATGGTGTCAATTCAACTGTCTGCACTTGGAAGATAACACACTGGAAGCCGAACACTGCCATAAAACTGAAGCCACGCATGCATACAAATAGCGAGAGTATACATACCGTATTTATTGGCGTATAACACGCACAGGCATATAACACGCACCTTAATTTTAAGAAGGACGTTTGAGTAAAAAA